TTATTTGTAGTTTTGCTGCTGTACACCCGCTATCTAGAATAAATACCAGATACTTCGGACATGGTGGCCCCCAACAAATAGTTCTTAAATGAATGAATGAATGAGGACTCGCTGGAGATTCTTTGGTATTTTAAGAAGGTTCACTCAGATTATTTGCTCAAATTAGAAGCAAGAGGCCGTGGAGAGAGGGAAGCCAGGTGGAAGGTCCCCAGGCCTGCATTCTAGGCCTTCACTCACTAGAAATCCAAGGGCAGTGGCCAATTCTGGAAAAACTATGACAGAAAAATAACATTTGACAGAATGCCAGAGAACATCCAGATAAATTCTGTCCGTTGAATAAATAAATAAATGCAAGCATGAATCTTGACTAAATCCTAGGCTAAAAACAAACAAACAAAAAACTGCTATAAAAGAATTGGGGGATAATTGGAAAATTTGAAAATAAGCTAAATGGGCTGGGCACGGTGACTCATGTCTGCAATCCTAGCACTTCGGGAGGCCAAGGTGGGTGGATTACCTGAGGCCAGGAGTTCAAAACCAGCCTGGCCAACATGTTGAAACCCTGTCTCTACTAAAAAATACAAAAATTAGCCAGGCGTAATGGCATGCACCTGTAATCCCAGCTATTCGGGAATTTGAGGCAGGAGAATCGCTTGAACCCGGAGGCAGAGGTTGCAGTGAGCCAAGATCACACCACTGCACTCCAGCCTGGGTGAACAGAGTGAGACTGTCTCAAGAAAAATAATAAGCTAAATAGTGGGTGCTATTAGAGAATAATTACTGTTAATTTAGCTCTGATAATGGTACTCAGGTTAAGTGGCATACTCCTAAATTCTTTTGTGCTGAAGCGGGGAGAAATATCACCATGTACACAATTTATTTTCAACTGCCTCCTGAGAGTGGCTACCACTCATTCATGTGATGACCCTCTCCCATGATCACTGCAACCAAGCCCCTGCCCTTATGCACCAACAGTGTTCTGGGCCTGTTCCCAGCCATAAGAGAAGGAACTTTTGTAGGAGAAGGTGACACGTGTGTGAATGCAGACATGAAACCAGGACTCCCTGTCAACATTGCGTTTTCACTTGGGTCCTGGCTTGTGACATTGAATTGAAAGTGATTTTGATTTTCTGAATAACAAATCCGAGGCTACAGAAACCCCACTTCCTTCCATCCCCACTGGGCTTGGCCTGGTCCCTGCACATGGCAAGTTAGCCTCCTTTGGTCTCTTTACTGGAAGAGTAAATACCCAGTTAATCCAGACAGCTCATGCCCTTCGTCATTCTCTGTATCCACCTCTGTTATTCTCTAGTCACTTATTTCTCTCTCTCTCTTTTTTTTTTAAACAGAGTCTTGCTCTATCGCCAGGCTGGAGTGCAGTGGCATGATCTCGGCTCACTGCAACCTCCACCTGCCAGGTTCAAGCGATTCTCCTGCCTCAGCCTCCCGAGTAGCTGGGACTATGCCACCATGTCCGACTAGTTTTTTGTATTTTAGTAGAGATGGGGTTTCACCATGTTGGCCAGGCTGGTCTCCAGCTCCTGACCTCGTGATCCACCCATCTCGGCCTCCCAAAGTGCTGGGATTACAGGTGTGAGCCACCGCGCCTGGCCACTTATTTCTCATTTTTAGAGACAATGGTCTCCCTAGGTTGTCCAGGCTGGACTCAAACTCCTGGGCTCAAGGGATCATCCTGCCTCAGTCTCCTGATCTATTCATTATTAAAGATGAATTCATCTCCTGTTTCACTTAAGGTTTCAGAGCAAATGACAAGCAAGTATTCTCAGCTTTGCTAGACAGACAGCAAACTAAAGCCTCAGAAATAAGAAGTTATTTTTGTCCAAAGGCAAAAACCCAAACGACAAAGAGTCTTGAATGAGACCCAGGATTCCAGTCCCCAAACTTCAGCACCCCTCATGGCAAAAGATTGGCATTCTTCATTGGAAGCGATGACCTTTTTTTTTTTTTTTTCCATTTAACAAAGCCTGCAGCTCATGGCCGGAAGATGAGAAAACCATGGAGCAAATCACCCACAATGACCGGAGCCTGTTTCCAGCTGCAGCTAGTGGAAAGTTACCTGATTTTGTTTTTCACTGTTGGTGAAGCCCAATTTTGCAGGCTATATCTGAATATACACATTAGGGATTTAGACATTCTAAGTTAAACTTCAACCTTCCAAGGTTCACATCTACTTTTTTTAAACGGCACGCACCTTTATTTCTTAAAAAATAAAAAGTCGGGCCGGACACAGTGGCTCACACCAGTAATCCCAGCACTTTGGGAGGCCGAGGCAGGCAGATCATGAGGTCAGGAGATCAAGACTATCCTGGCTAACACAATGAAACCCTATCTCTACTAAACATATAAAAAATTATCTGGGCATGGTGGTATGTGCCTGTGTCCCCGCTACTCAGGAGGCTGAGGCAGGAGAATCGCTTGAACCCGGGAGGTGGAAGTTGCAGTGAGCTGAGATCACACCCCTGCACTCCAGCCTGGGTGACAGAGCACAACACTGTCTAAAAAATATAAAAATAAAAATAAAATAAAAAGTCACTTTTTTTCTTTCCCAGACAGCGTCTCATTCTAAGCTGCAACACAGTGGCGCGATCTTGGCTCACTGCAACCTCCACCTCCCAGGCTCAGGCAATCCTCCTGCCTCAGCCTTCCAAGTAGCTGGGTCTATAGGTGCATGCCACCACGTCCAGCTAATTTTTGTAGAGACAGGATCTCGCTATGTTGCTCAGTCTTGTCTCAAACTTCCGAGCTCAATCAATCCACCCACCTTGGCCTCCCAAAATGCTAGAATTATAGGTGTGAGCCACTGCGCCTGGCCAAAAAATCACTTTTAAAAGCAGCTGAGGTAAAGTTATGTGATTTGACAGAAGTTTGAAAAATGTTCATCCTGTCTCTGAAGTTTAGAATCCTTGCAAGTCCCCTGACTGGGGATGTAAAGAAAATCATCTGAAAGTTGAACATTTGTCTTCATCCTGTTTTTCTAAATGAAGAGAAAACCATCTCAGTAAAAATGCTGATGAGAGTGACCCGAATAATGTGGGACCGAGGAGGCTTGGGGGTGGGAAGTGTTTGTCCTGCCCTTTGAAAGAATGTCTTTGAAATAATGTCTTTCTTTCAAAGGGCAGGACAACAGGGAACCCTGAGGAATCTGTTTCACTTTAAAGGAGGAAAACCAACAGCAATTCTGAAAAGAAATAGGATGGCTGAAATCAGGAGAAGCGGCTTAAAAAGTGCACAGCAAGTTTGCAAAGGCAGTGCCAACACTGCAGTGCCAGAAATGTGACTGTAAAAAATATCCCATTGACACCATATTGTATAGACCGACACTGGGGAGCACAGGGCTTTGGCAATTTCCAGAGGGCCCTCAGGATGTTTTTCTCACATCAGCGTGCACTGTGTGGGTTGTCGCAAAGGAATAGGAGGCCAATCCCTCAGCCCTGGGGGAGGGCCCTGTCTTCTGTGGAGCCGAGTGTATAGGACCCCTCAGGAGGTTGTAGGCAACCTGACGGAACTGAGTCCCCTCAGGAGGCTCGGGAGCATGCCCGGAACAAATGGCGGTGCCCACTCACTGCCTCATTTCTTGAGTTCAGTTCTTCGGCAAGAAAAAAAAAAGGTCATTAGTATATTTTGTTTTTTATTTTTACCTGAAAAGAAATATGACAACTAAAAGGAAGTATGACACGAGCAGGATGACAATACCTGCTAGTTAAATTAAGGCCACCCAACTCCTCGGATCATCATCAACTGGAATGACCAGACCTCACTTCAGATTGCATTTGTGTTTATTGGAGAGTGCAACCAAGAGTTTCCTTTTAAAAAATAAGAAAGCAAAATAGCAATGTGGCAAAACCCCATCTCTACAAAAAAGAAAAGTACAAAAATTAGCCAGCTGTGGGCACCTGTAGTCCCAACCACTGGGGAGGCTGAGACTGGGGGATCGCTTGAGTCCAGAGGGTCGAGGCTGCAGTGAGCTGTGATCATGTCACTGCACTCCAGCCTGGGTCACAGAGTGAGACCCTGTCTCAAAAAAAAAGGAAGAAGAAGAAGAAAGGAAAGAAAGGAAGGAAGGAAGGAAGGAAGGAAGGAAGGAAGGAAGGAAGGCAGGCAGGCAGGCGGGCGGGCGGGAGGGAGGGAGGGAGGGAAGAAGAGAGAGAAAGAAAAAGAAAGAGAGAGAAAGAGAGAGAAAGAAAGAAAGAAGGAAAGAAATGATGTAAGAAAGAAGCAACACAGAAAGAAGGGTGAGAACAAGTCACAAAAAAAAAGAGAAAAAAAGAAAAAAAGAAAGAAAGGAAGGAAGGAAGGAAGGAAGGAAGGAAGGAAGGAAGGAAGGAAGGAAGGAAACCAAATGACCTGAGAAGGAAAAGAAATAATCAGAGACATTAAAAATAATAGCCAACAGCTGGGTGCAGTGGCTCATGCCTGTAATCCCAGCACTTTGGGAGACCAAGGTAGACAGATCACCTGAGTTCAGAAGTTTAAGACTAGCCTGGCCAACATGGCGAAATCCCATCTTTACTAAAAATTTTAAAATTAGCCAGGCGTGGTGGCAGGCACCTGTACTCCCAGCTACTCAGGAGGCTAAGGAAGGAGAATTGCTTGAACCCAGAAGGTGGAGGTTGCAGTGAGCTGAGATTGAGCCACCGACTCCAGCCTGGGTGACAGAGTGAGACTCCATCTCAAAAAAATAAATAAAAAATAATATAAATAGCTAACAACAGAATACAGATAGGCTGAGCGGCAGCCTCCCTGCTGTTGATGCGGCTGCTCCCGAGCCGCCTGCCTCACCGCCTAGCTGTGGGCTGTTTGTCTTGCTGCCCGTGGCATTTCCAGAGCTTAGCAGATAAGGAGGAGCTTCATACATGATTGCTGGCGTGAACAAAGGAATGCATGGTAACGACGTCAGAAATGGCCAGTTCATCAGGAGAATGAAATTGGCTTCCAAATATTGGTCAAGAACTCTACATCGGACGAGCCAAGGATCTACTGAACTTAGCAGGCTCCTGTGGCCCGGTGCCTCTTCTGGCTCTAGAAATCTGGGGAGGTGACCAGGTCATACGTGGCAGTCCTCCTGTGAAGACAGTGAAGCTGGTTGAAACCTGGGGTTCCGAGGGGAAGATGTGTTCACCAGGTGATCTCCCTGCTCTGCCCCGGTGGCCCCCATGGCTGCCTGCTGCCCGTGCACCCCCACTCAGCCAGGGTTGGACTTTCCAAACTTGCTGAGTGTGTTCGACCAAAGGTAATGCTGACTTAGTGGCCTGAGGTCGTGCCGTCCCTCCCCCCCACCAAATCAATAAATAATGCGACTTATCAGAAAGAGAAAGAATTGTTTACTTTTAAACCCTGGATCCCATAAAGGGAGAGGGGAGAGGCCTAAAAGCCACAGAAGCTGTGGACGGCGCCGTCCTGCCTGCCACAGGAGGGGCCCTGGCTGAGAGGATCGGAGCCCACCCAGGGTAAGTGCGGCTCTCCCTGGGTGCCTGCGGAACCCTCGAGTGATCAGGCTGTGCTTTGGGGTGGCCGCTGATTGGGAAATGATGGGGGCTGCTGACTCCAATGTTGTAAAAGACACCACCCAGCACCTGAGCAACAACAGGTGTTGAACACACCATAACTTTGTCTTCCATGATGATTCTGTGTCTTCAGAAAACTTGAGGAACACTGGAGACTTTCTTGAGCGAGGGTAACACATGGTTTCCTTTTAAAGCAAAATAACAAAACAGCTTAAGGAGGAAAAGAAATGATCACCTTGCAGAGGGAGAGAGGATGAGGCTGGGGAGGAGCGGAGGGCTCAGGGGCGTTTTATTTCTGTGCTTGGAGTGGCTGGACATGAAGCCAGTTCTGTTTTCACCATGGCCTGATTTAACGATAATACCAAAGCGTTCACATGGAATGCCAGCTTTAGAGTCATTCCTTTCGCACTCCTCTGTCCAAGCCATATTGTTTCCTCAATAGCACTAAAAAATAACCGAGCACCTGCACAGAAATGAAACAGCACCTTAGGAATCCCCAGGCCTCAGCAATTATCTTTAAAAAGAGTCCAAGTAGGCCCCAGCTTGGCTAAAATGTATCCAGAGATTCCTTCTTCACCACTGGTTGGTGAGAAACACAGGCAATTGCAGGTGCCTGAATAAGGAACTTTCCAGATTTCCCCTCTAGAAGGATGCCAATGAGGAAAGAAATGCTGCTTTGCTCCCTGTTGACAAAAACATTCTATTTTTAAATGTCTATGCACTTTCAAAATGACAGGACTCAGAAGTATAATAGTGACTTCCTTTATCATCTAGACTAACAGCCTAAAAGAATCAAATGGATGGATTTAATGCATCTATTTTAAATTGTAGTAAATATGGATTCAGAGCAAAACGCATCTCCATTTATCTTTCACTTATGAATTTTTTTTTTGTACTAATTGGTTATGTTTGCAGCAAGGTGACATTCACAGTCCACATGGGGTTGGCCCTAGAACAAAGGGCTCTTAGCGCCTGGGAACAGAATATTAAAGCAAAGACAAGCTGCTTGTGCCCAGATCTGACCCAAGAAAGAACAGGGAGTGTTGCGATATTCCTGGTGCCTGTGACTCTAAGATGTCACGCTGGGAGCTGTGGAGTATACAGAATACGTACAGAGTGATGAATTTGCTGGAGGGTCTTGCTTTGTAAAGGCTTCCTCCTTAATGAGCTATTTTCTCACTTATGAAAAGAAATGCAGGGCGTTAAAAGAGGAGCAAACCAAATCTAGGCTGTTTTTCATACTCAAGGATCCAATGCGAGAGCTACATTCTGTACTGACCACAGCAGCTAGAGATGCCTAGAGATTTCATCACAGTTGGGAAGATGAGAGCAGGAAGATGATGCGCACAGAAATTTAGTGTGTGTGTTTTCTTTTTCTTTTCTTTTTTTTTTTAAGAGACGGGGTTTCACCATGTTGACCTTGTGATCTGCCTGCCTTGATCTCTTGACCTAGTGATCCGCCCGCCTCGGCCTCCCAAAGTGCTGGGATCATAAGCATGAACCACTGCAACTGGCCTGTGTGTTTTCTTTAGAAATGGGATCTCAGGCCGGGCGCGGTGGCTCGCGCCTGTAATCCTGGCACTTTGGGAGGCCGAGGCGGGTGGATCATGAAGTCAAGAGATTGAGACCATCCTGGTCAACATGGTGAAACCCCGTCTCTACTAAAAATACAAAAGATTAGCCAGACGTGGTGGCACATGCCTGTAATCCCAGCTACTTCGGAGGCTGAGACAGGAGAATCGCTTGAACCCAAGAGGCGGAGGTTGCGGTGAACCGAGATCGCGCCATTGCACTCTAGCCTGGGCAACAAGAGTGAAACTCCGTCTCAAAAAAACAAAAGATAAAAAAGGAAAAGAAATTTGATCTCAAACAACTGAGCTCAAGAGATCTTCCTGCCTAAGACTCCTGAGTAGCTGAGACTACAGGAGAAATTTATTATTAATAGCCATTCAGGAATGGTTAGCACGCAGTCTTTCTCAAGGAGATCTCAGGAAGTAAGCTACACAGAATTCCTCAAGGCCTTTTCTACACTGTAGAAAATTGTGCTGGCCTTTGGACGAGTCACCCTGAGAATAGCCAACATCTTTGCCTTAAGCATTATTTTTTCAAAGGAAATGACATTTAATACTTCCCAACCAGTGTGTAAAGTTTCTGTTTGTTATTAGCTCATACTATTTAAGTTCAGTTGTTAAATTTGAAAATACTATAACATTAAAAATTTGTAGAATAAGAAATGATTATGTGAATTTTTAAAATATTCAGAAGTGGACCCTGGCATTAACCACTTTATTTTACTAGCGATATATTATTGTATGACATTTCTTTTTTTAAAAGAAAACCTTCTGATTACTTGTTTAAACTGCTTTGTAAACTGACAGTTTAACTGCTTCTGCAGAAACAAAAAAGTAATAAAATATGATGGCCATTTTAGCAATGTTTAAAAACTGCTCACAAGGCAAAATAATTGCCACTCAATATGTGTTTAGTGATTGACGCAAAAATACCATAAAATTGTTGTACTGCAAAAGAAAATATTTCACTAATAATTTGCTAAAAAAATTAGCCTGAGGCCTGCCACTCAGCACAGCACTAACTTTTCATGCTTATGACAAATAATATATGAATAGGGTGGCTTCCAACCTTCCCCATTTCAGAAGAGTATCTTGCAAGAAGGACTTTGTATTGAGAGTCCAGAAAGACAATTGCTTAACATTTTTTAAATCCTCATTTTTCTCATTAAAAAGTATCACATGAATCATAATTAACAAATTTACACAAAAGGAGAAAAAAGAAACCATAATTTCTCTACTGAAAGATAATGATGATTGACATTTGATGTTTTGGCCTCAGGCATGAATGCATTTTTTCACAGAAAGGGACTCATACTGTGTGTATTGTTTTACAAACTGTTTTTTAATTCAATAGCATATCTTGAATTTCTTTCCAAGTCTACAATCATTTTTCTACAGAATCAATGTAAAGGGTTATGGTGTGTCATGAATATATTCCTCTTCTCCTATAGCTGGGCGTTTAGGTTGTTTCCAATGTTTACCCTCATAAGCAATGCCACTATGAGCAACCTCATAGGTAAATCTCTCTATACATTTTAATACTTTCCTAGTGATAGATTTCTGAGCCATAGAAATGAGGTTTGTTTGGGGGTGGGGAGTTGGTAAAATTCACCAGTAACACATTAACTTCCTCGTCTCTTTTATTCTTCCCTGCGTTCCTTCCCTTTTCTGTCTTTTGCAGATTATTCAAAGCCAAAAGCCAACAGAGCCCCCATGAAGAAGTGGAGGATGCCCAGATGCTGCTATAAAGCCCTGAGGAGTGAAATGAATCCAAGCCCTTGCCCAGGATAGCGCTCTCTAAGCACATCCTTCAGGGACCCTTCTAACCAGTGAAATGTTCACCTCTCACTGTTTCTTCCCAACTGAGCTAAGAGACTTCTAGAGCCTCTTGTGATGGTCAGCAATAGCCCTGGCATGACCAGGAGGTGTGGGTTTCTGTTCTAGGTCCCTTAGCAAAGACTAAGCAGGACAAGCCTGGCTACTGTGTTAGGAGGAGCCGTAGGGAAAGGGAAGGACAAGATGGGCCACCACACACCTGTGTCCCCTGCTGGGCTGCCCTCAGAGTTTGTGGCAGCAACTGGGGCCACCTAGAACCCTAGGGTTCACAGTCATTCTCTCTGAGTCATGTAAAGCTGCCCAGGAGATGAGGTCCACCTGAGGAGAGTATGTCTAAACAGGCCATTGGCATTTCCTGCTTGCAAATGACCACATTTCATGAAACAAAACCAGGCCACAGACAGGAACCAAAGGAAATCAGTTACTTAATGGAAGATAAGGAATCCATAAAGTGAAAAAGGTAAAGAAGAAAAAAGAGGCAGCTTCAACACTCCAACTCCACGGAAGCAGAACGACTCTCAGCTTTCTTAGGGGGTAGTCACTGCAAGTCTAGCTTGAAGAGGGTGATTTCATGATCTACATGTGAATAAGGCGCATTTTTTTCTGAAAAGTACAGAACGGTTCATTTTCAGCTGTTAAAGATGGGCCGGTTTTAGGGCTAGAGCAAGGCTCTGGTCAAATGTTAACAACCCAGTTAACCTGGGGAAAAAATAACTGGCTCCCAGCCCTTTCCCTTTTCAGCATTTGCAGGAAAAGCAGGAGTGGGTAAAATGCTTTATTTCCTCTCATTCTCCATGGTGGGCAGGAGTTCACGTATCAGTCAGAAACCATTTTTAACAGGAAAACCAAGTAAATCCTGTAGGGATTTATTTAGAGCTCCCTTTTTGTGAGAAAATGAGTATCACAAACTAAAAATGACTCATTTCCTGTCTCTCCATCTTCCTCCCTTTCTTCTCTCCCCTCATCTCCCACCCATCACTATGGTGGAAAATGACTACGGTGAAGATCATGAAAATTTGAGCAAGATCAGATGCCACAGAGAGTAGATCACAACACATCTAACTGCTGGATCCCCATATCAAATAATTGTAATTTTCCTAGACTGCAGAATTGATCACATTTTACCGATGATGGATTGGGAAGTATGGTGAGGAGATGAGAGCTGGAGAGCATTCATTCATTCATTCAGTCAGATTATTCTCATTGACAGCGTGGTCTTCCACATTATAAACTAAGTATTGATGTCCTGAAATCTATTCCCTCTAGAGATTCTTTTTCTCTGAGCCATTTTAGAAAATTGTTGCAAACGGAGTTCCTGTCTGTTTTCACAGGAAGTTTTTGCAGAAGGGGTTTTTGGGTGGTTGTGGAACACAGGCACTGGGCCCCTTCACTACTCTACCCTTCCAGAACACAGAAGCCTTTCATCTGTGAGTCTTCATCTCTTCCCATTGCTCAAGACGCTTGCACCTGTGATGCTTCTTTTCTCTGCTCATGTCATAACATGTGGAGCTGATAAGGTTCCCTTGTGGCGGTCCGTGACAATGGTGGAATGTGGAGGTGAAGTTAACACCTTTGTGGCTACAGATTTTCCTTAGCAGAGCTGTGGAGTGTGACAATGGTGTTTGTGTCTAAACTATCAAACGCCATTATCACACTAAATAGCTACTGCTAGGCAATCCTTCCCTCGATAAATGTCTTGGCATCATTCGCTTTGAGCAAGAAGGTTCATCTGATATCAGTGTTCCCAATCTTTTGTACTTACTGAATAAAGTCTGGTTCTCTTGAGCTCATAACCAATATGATTAGCTGAACCCTGCCTCTCACATGCTATTGTTACATACCTTAGCTGGTGATGAATTTCTTTGTTTTCCCAAGTCAATAAAAAGATTGCAGACTGTGTACGGTGGCTCACGCCTGTAATCCCAGCACTTTGGGAGGCCAAGGCAGGTAGATAGATCGCTTGAGCTCAGGAGTTCAAGACCAGCCTGGGCAACATGATGAAACTGTGTCTCTACAAAAACTACAAAATTTAGCCAGGCGAGGTGGCATGCACCTGTAACCCCAGCTACTTGGGAGGCTGAGGTGGGAAGATCAGTTGAGCCCATGAAGTTGAGGCTGCAGTGAGCTGTGATGGCACCACTGCACTCCAGCCTAAGTGACAAAGCAAGAACCTGTCTCAAAAAATAAAAATAAAAGATTGCAGAGTCCCTCAGAGCACCCAACACAAGGCTAGGCACCAGGCAATCATTCAACCCACGCTTATAGAGTTGAAATGAATAGTTAGGAAAGTGTTAGATGCAGAAGGCTGAGACTGGGTTAAATCTAGGTTATGCAGACCGCAAGTTTATAGGTATAAATTTAAGGTGTGTGGGTCATTGTCTTTTCATCGTTAAAAAACCCAACTTTCTAAGAAACTTACACATGGCTTCACTGGCCTTTCAGAAATTCTGGAACATGTTTGATTTCTACTGATTTTAATCAATTACTAGGCTGATTACTGAATTCGTACACCAGGTCTTTTTTCCTCTTGCTTCAGTGAATTACCATCAGAAAATTGTTTATGAACCATGTGTGAGCTGCCATGGCAAATCTGGACCCAAGGAGTTTTGGGGACAGTTGGCCTAGCCAGATGCCCTGGTTTGGAAAACATTTTGTCTCTGAGAGGTTTCCGAAGTCAGCAATAGGTTTTGTTTGTGCTGGGCTAAGGCTTCCCTCCCCTGACTTGGCTAAATGAAGTAGTATATGTTTAATCAAATTGACGGGGTTAGATCAACCATCAGAAACAAATTCAATCATTCAACCATTCACTCATGAAATAAATATGTATACAGGCTACCGTCTGCCTGACACTGTCCTAGGCATTGAGGACACTTTTAAATTAAATGTGTCTGATGTTATTTCCAGAGATGGGCATCCACTGGCTCACATTAAATTTTAGGACTATTGTTAAATCATTCCAGATGGGAGCCAAATGAGCAAAACTTTGCAAAATAATTCTGAGTCCCTTGCTAGAAAGCATCACCCGAGTGCAGCCCACACATTTATGATACACTATGAAGTCTTCAAGGTCATGAGATGCACAAAAGCTTCAAGGTCATGAGATGGACAAAGGCTTCAGGGTCATGGAATGTCACTTTCCAACGAAGAAGAGGAAGTGCACCCCTGCCTGCCTTGCATCTCTTACTGCCTCTCACTTCTTCCATCCCAGCAACATCCACTCTCAAGAGGAGAATCAGACTCCCTGAAATAATTGAGACATTGACATTTCTTTTTGTGTGTGTGTTTCTGGCGAAGTCTCTAACTGAACAGGTATTAACAGAGGGCTCTACTGTTATACAAATCACTCTCATGTACACTGAATTAGTCCATTTTCATGCCGCTAACAAAGACATACCTGAGACTGGGAAGAAAAAGAAGTTTAATTGGACTTATAGTTCCATATGGCTGGGGAGGCCTCAGAATAATAACGGGAGGCAAAAGGCACTTCTTACATGGCAGCAGCAAGAGAAAATGAGGAAAAAGCAAAAGCGGCAACCCCCGATAAACCCACGAGATTTCGTGAGACTTATTCAGTATCACGAGAGTAGCACGGGAAAGACTGACCCCCATGATTCATTACTTTTTCCTCGGTCCCTTCTACAACACGTGGGAATTCTGGGCCATACAATTCAAGTTGAGATCTGGATGGGGACACAGCCAAACCATATGACACACTGTTTCATTTGATCCATGCAATACAGGGCAAAGATGATGGGTTTGGGGCCCCTTCCACAGAAGACAGAGTCTAAAGGGTTCTGGAATCGTCTGGTCCTCCGACCACAACTCAGCATGGATCTCTTAAGTCTAAAGTTCTGTCCGTAACCCGGAGCCTTCTTTGACCTGGTTTTTCTGTGAAATCTCACACTTCACAGTCGAATCTGTATAGAAGGCGGGTTAATCATGCCAGTATGTGATCAATATCCTCATCTCCCCATCTGCTTTGTCAGTGGATTCTGAGGGAAACCCTGTAAATTAGAGTGGGATGAGCCATATGAGAATCTCTCTTTGCGAGTGTTCATCATACAGAGAAAGCTGAATATTGCAAAACCCTGTAATCATGAAACGAAAGAGAAGGAACATCTAAGTGGTAGCTTTGGGATCAGGAAGAGATTGGCCAAACTGTCCCAACACTGAGCGGCCATCTACGTGACCCAGCCACCTGATGTGGCACCAAATGACCCAGAGCCTTGAGGTTTGGAACTGTTCCTAGACTCAGGGACAATGTGAGGACTGGACCTTCCATATTTCTTCTCTTCACTCCCACTCACCCTGAGATTTTTCTCAGGTAGAATTAAACAGGGAGCCAAGTGAACAGCATTCTGCATCTTTGCTGCTAGGTTAGCTCATTTAATGGTTTATTATGATTGCTGCCTGGATTCGTTTTGCATTTGGGATTGGAGACCTGTCATTTCTGTAGCTCTCTAAGGAACACACAGAGAAGGCAAAGCTTCCCTCTCCCCTTTCTACCTCTAATTGCAATCCTGCTGCTCCAAATCTCTGATGATGGCACCTTCCCCAGACCAGCATTTAACTCCCCTCCCTCCCCGGGATGATTGCTGCCAGTCATTTCCAATAAAGCGTTTCTGGGGACAGCTACTGACTCTGAATATGGTTTGCAAGATGAAAGGGTTCACTTGGATGAGCAGTTAAAAATCACACTCGTGCTGGGGAGGCAGCAGAGAACACAGTCACCTTGACATGTTTTCCTCCCCGGGAGACAGGCCACTTGAGTCTAGCTTTGCTTTGTGGATCACCCCGTAGAGTCCTGACGCAGCCTTTCATCTTAGTACAATGTGTACTTTGAACGTGAAAGTCGCCACTGACAGCCTGTCCGGCGTTCCATCCAGCCCCAGAGGAGGATTTGTGAAATAGCATAGCAGTTACCATGTATCAATGGCTTACTACATATTTTTCTGAACTCTTCTTAAACGTATATTTTCCACCTATATACTTCATTGAATCAGAAGACAAAGGAATGCTAGAACTGGAAACCAGTCTACTCTTTGTTCTGATGAGGAGATTGAAGCCCAAGTCTTCTGGAATTTACTGGACAGATCCACCTTCACATTCCCCTACCCTGTGTCATCAGCCATTCCCTGAGCAGACAAGGGTTGTGTGTTTCTATGTGCCAAGTGTTCTACTAAAATCTGGGGATCCAAAGAAGAAAGAGGTCAGGTCCCTTCCCTGCGCTACCCTCAATGCGGGAGTTGAACAGAAGCTGAAACAAAGACATGCATGCCTCCGTGACTAGATGCCAGCACAGAGGCAGGGACAGTGTGCCAAGAGGCTTTAGTTATGCCCTTCTTTTCTCTCCAGGTGAAGAAACACCAAGTCTTTGATGTTATGGTCCTTTTTGTTATTGTTGGGAAAACAGTCCTCCTTGTTTATTTTGGTGATTCAACTTCCAACAGGTTACATGGATAAAGGGCGTTTCTTTGTTTTGGGGGACAACGCTGTCATATGAAGATCTTCCTGCTTTTACTTTGCCACTTGGCAGCATAATGAGCAGCTCAGCATCTGTTGAGGGACTGGGAGCGGATGGTACACTTCCCAGTGATGTGGAGAATTTTAATTGCTCCAAGGATCTGGAAGAAACGTGAGCTGGTTGTTCTTCACAACGCAGGGCTAGATTAACACTGTTTCCTCCATCCCTGTCTCACAAAAAGCCTCCTTCAAGGTCACCTCACTGCTTCTCAGTTTCCCCTCCCTTGGGACAGGCTCAAGAAAGCTGCTGGGTGCAAACCCGTGGCAGAAGCCCCCAGGGCCGATGAGAGGTGGCAGAATGGGGGCACCTGCTTTCTTCTCTTCAATATCCAAGTTTCTAAAAGGGAAAAAAGGGAGAATTCCAAAGCACACACAAGTTCACGAAAATGGAGATGGCTACTGAGGATTCTACAGGGCCTGATCACAGTTCTTCCCTTATTTTAAGAAGCCAAGTCACTATATGTGCTCTGGAAAAGAGATTTATGTGACATAAATTTGTGTGCACTTAGGATATCTAAACATCATGCATAGGATGCAAAAGTGAGTCAGACAGACTCTGGCATGCACGCATTCATTCACTCAATCAACGTTAGTTGTGCATTCCTACTGTGTGCCAGGCATCATGCTAGTCACTGAGGATTCACAGGTGTGATGCGCTCCCCAGAACCTAGTTGCTTCCAGCTCAGTGAGGACACACACAGGCAAATGAGTAATGGGTGGGTTGAGCTGCAGGTTCTTTGAAGTAGATATGGGGCGTACCATGAGGCCCAAAGGAAGAAAACACTGTCTATGGCTTGTGAGAAAGGCATGAATAATACTAGGAGGTGAACACGCTGGCACTCATGGTGACCCTGGCAGCCCTCCAATGAAGGAGAACTTTGTGACCTTGGCATCCAAAGTGTAGAGTTTTCATCTTGATGGAGGTTGAGTTACATTCCAAAGCATTCCCTAGCAATTTCCCCCAGACAGCAACTGAGCTCTGAATCTGGAATTTATTTGGTAGGTACTTTTCTCTCTCAAAAATGCAGCCAAACACCAAAGAAAAAGATCACCTTTTAAATAAAAGCAGCACATTGTACTATTTGGGAAGTCACTGGGGGCAAGTGTGTGTGTCTGTGTGTTAACAAACATGTATGAGAGGAATTTTAATTTCTCAAAGGAGCTGGGTAAGATGCCTTTAATATCTCATTCAACTGGGACTGTCACTTATTTTTTTTTTTGAACCAGGGAAAAGCAGTGCTGATCTGCAGCTTGAGCTGAAGGGAAAATTCTCTATTCACCTTTGAGCCTGGGGCTACACTTCCCTTGGGAGATTGCCCTCTGTACTAGAATAGACCCCTGCACACCATGACATCAATGGTTCAAAGGGTTTTAGG